CATATATATATATATATATATATATATATATATATATATATATATATATATATATATATATATATATATAATGTATATTTGGCCAGCAACCTTTCTGTCAAACAGGTAGAAAGTTTAAATATATTATTGAATATGACAGTGAAAAAATTGATGGCTCTAAATAAATACACACACACACACACACACACACACACACACACACACACACACATATATATATATATATATATATATATCCATATTGTGTGTGTGCGTGTAAATATAAAACGGGTATCACAGCAAAATTGTCCAAATCATGTAACAGGAAAATTGTACAATTGTTCGATTAAGATTTGAAGCGTTGTATCTGAAAAATGATTAAAGATATCTTACTGGAATTTTCCGAGGTTTTTATAAATCTATTGGTCACTACTTTGAGTGAAAAAATAATGCATAATTATTCTGCAGGCTTAGCAGAAGAATCATGATGAAATCGATCATAAACGAAAATGACACGTTCATCATTAATTAATCATAGCTAAGGATCGGAAACTCATGAAGTATTGATTAAAGTTCATATATATATATATATATATATATATATATATATATATATATATATATATATATATAATAAAACTTAACCGCAGTGCCTTGTCAGTTGCTTTTAATGAAACGTGTATCAAATTTTCATCATGTAACCACAGTAATAAACACGCAATAGCAAAAGAAAAGTGTGTTAAACCTGTTTTAGCGAATGTGCAGATAATTTTTGTCTTTCCATAATACATTAAAATCATTACATTTGGCTTTTTGGGAAAACTAATTTTTTTATATCAGCACTGTCTCCATATCTTGTTTTTAAAGATGAAAAAGTTATGTGTCTATATTTCTGAGATGAGGTATTATGTACATTATTTACATTATTCGGACTATTGTCCTCATCTTTGTTGCCATATTTATTACAACGTTTCGGCCTTTCTGTATCTGTCTATATTTCTGAGATGAGGTATTATGTACACTATTTACATTATTCGCACTATTGTCCTCATCTTTGTTGCCATATTTATTACAACGTTTCGGCCTTTCAGTATCTGTCTATATTTCTGATATGAGGTATTATGTACATTATTTACATTATTCGGACCATCGTCCTCATCTTTGTCGCCATATTTATTACAACATTTCGACCTTTCAGTATCTGTCTATATTTCTGATATGAGGTATTATGTACACTATTTACATTATTCGAACTATTGTCCTCATCTTTGTCGCCATATTTATCACAACGTTTAGGCTGTTGTCCGCTCCGGCCTTCTTCAGGTGGTTGGAACGTCGAACTGAATCCTTTATTTCACTCACTGGGGTAAACTGTTCTGGTACCATGAGCCATGTCTAATGGATGTCAGTTATCAGTTATCTCCTGTTAATTCCCCTCACCAAGTTCTCCACTGCCACATATGCTAGGCCAGAAAAATCTCCTGAGCCGACCAAGCATAGAAATGAATACAATATGGGAACCAGTACAAAGCAGTGCCAGAGAAAAACGATAATAACAACGAAAATTGCAATATGAGCTATGGTAAAAACAAGATTGAGAACAGCAAAAATTGCAATATGAGCACTGGTAAAAATGGTTGCTAAAGACATTAGGTTTATAATACCCAGAAATTCATACACAGATGTCCTCAAGGACATATGGCTTAGTGGATAAAGGCGTTAGTTAGATCCAGTGACAGGACCCAAAGAGTGTGAGTTCTATTCTTTGTTAAGGTAATGGAGCGGGTAATTAACAGGAGATAACTGATATCCATTAGACATGGCACGTGGATAAAGGGTTCAGCTCGACATTCCAACCACCTGAAGAAGGCCGGAGTGTACAACGGTTGAAACGTTGTGATAAATATGGCAATAGTCCGAATAATGCAAATAGCGAGAAGGTTATGGTATTTAAATCAAGCTTAATATGCGATTTAAAGACATATTTTTCTGTATACAAAAGGAAAAAACGTATTACCGGTTGTCTGTGCGGGGAGCAACACATTCAAGTTATACACGCGGAATTTAGATTCGTCTATAAGCAGGAAAGAAATGTTTCATGTGAAAAATGATTTAATCAAGCATATTGTCCATTGCCTTGACCTTCTTCTTCTTCTTCTTCTTCTTCTTTCACTTTCAGTCAGTCAGGTGTTCCTGTGTTTCTTTTTGATTGGCTGATTACATGATAAGTGGACGCTTGTTTCTGATTGGCCGAACAAAAGATTAACTGATGTTCACTTCTGATTGGTTGATAAACAGATGGCTATTTTTGATGGGGGGAAAACGACTTCTGATCAATAGTTTGGTTGAATACCAGCTGAGAAAAAGTCGGAATCGATAGCGTTTGTTCGAGGAACAAAGTCGAACCTATGATGAGGTGAATATTTTTTTCCAAATGTGGCAAACTGCGAAACCAAATGAATGAGAACATAAATACATTTTCTGTCATCTCAACGAGCTATTCAGTAAACTTTTCAATAATTAAGCATACACACTGACGCCATGATGGATACACGTGACGTTTACACAACCAATGAAAATAAAGCAACATAGAATTTAAAAATAGAAATATAACTTCACATTAAATCGCGAAATATGTTAGATTTATAAAAATTTTTCTTAATAATTTATTTAATTATTCGATTGTGTTTAATACATATTATCAACAAACATACATCCATATATATATATATATATATATATATATATATATATATACATATAGAACAGATAGAAATAGATATAGACAGAATTAATTAACATAGATTGAATTTATATATAACCCCACAATTCAGGCCCTATCCACATTTCTCACCCACACAAGACAGGCATGTTGAGGCTTCACACACACACATACTAATATACACACTTACACACTATCAAAGAACCAAATAACACACACACTTAACAGAGACACGTCCTCTTTCCAGGAACCTGTAAAACTGTCAAAATGGCCAAGGGAATTCAGAGCAGCATGAATCCATCCAGTTCTTATCTTAAATAACAGCTTAAAAGAGGCTGTTTGACCAACACAAGGACTGATCAAAATTCATGTTGAAAAATAAAACGACAAATGAAAACTACAGATATTCATTTTCATTTTCTACATCAAGTTATTCATTCCTGTAGTTCACTGCTACTAACAAGCAGAATTTTTTTCTCTTGATGATGGCCATGTTGGCCGAAACTCGTCCAAGAATCTAATTGAAATAATAAAACAAAAAAATATTAATATACAATCTAGTGTGTCTGAAAATTTTAATTTTTAATTTCCCAATATTTTTGATAGTTCATATATATATATATATATATATTCAATATATATATATATAGATAGATAGATAATTATATATATATATATATATATATATATATATATATATATTACGTTTTTTGACGTATTTTTAACGTCAAAAAACGACATTATTACATCATTATTTTTGCACCAACCTAATATATATATATATATATATATATATATATATATATATATATATATATATATATATATATATAGAGAGAGAGAGAGAGAGAGAGAGAGTAGATAAGTTGGTCAACAAAATCAACAAAGTCAAACGAAATGGTACAGATGAAATCAGTACGAAAAACATTTATTCATATTAACCAGGTGACAAAAATGAAGCACGGAGATTGTGGTTTCAAGTTCGGAATTTTCGAACACGCCTGTGCTCTTTATCAGCGGATGCAAGAAATAAACAGTGGGTCGGTGGAAACTATCCAATATTAGTTTTTAGTCTTCATTTTTTTTTTTTTTTTGAGCCGAGGTACCTTTCGACCAACACTTCATCAAGCACCAACGATGGCAAAATTATTATATCTGAATTGGTATGAGAAAAAATGCAGGAAACCTTTGGCGCACGTCTAAAAGATAAATTCATGATTAGAATATACGTAAATATCAGAAAAGATATAAATCCTCCAACATGAGTGCAAAACAAGAAATTATAGATACACAGGATCCTCCATAAAACTCGAGTGGACGAAGGAAATTCTCTTTCTGCTTACAGAGGGACGGCTACTGTAATTTAATAGAGACAGTTTCCAAAACTTGCAAATGGTGTTTGCACCGAGCCATATGCAAAATGGAGAAGGAGTCAATAGAAAATTACGAAGAGCACAGTTCATTCTCTTATAGGTGTTGTCCGAAATAACGATTATGTTGATTGAATTTGGTAAATGTAGATACGTGTTGACATAGCGGTGTTTCCTATGTTAGTCAAGGTCTTCCTATATATTCAGCTTCACACAGACATTTAAATTTGTAAATTAAATAACTTTAACGGGTTCTTAATGAAGGAAGGAAAAATAGGGCGGGTACCGAAAATAACATGCAATTTGGTTGAGAAAACAGAATTAGAAACTCTGTCAATTAGAGTTTGACATTTTACACCAAGCCAAGGTAATTTTAAATAAATCGGACACAGACAAGTGATATATATATATATATATATATATATATATATATATATATATATATATATATATATATATATATAAAAAGAAATATGTTGTAGTTGTTCCAACGAGAGAAAAGTATGTATATTAAAAGAAGAGAGTGCCGCAAACGTTTTGGTTGTAATGTGGATTTATTTAGAGAAAATATTATGCTTTGTTTTACATAATTTTACGACACGTGTTTCTGGTCTCGCGATCGTCTTCAAGTAAAAGTGGAGATTTCCACATATTATTAAAAATAATTAATTTTTCTTCATGTTCAATGTTAAATATTCTCGATATGAGACATTCTCTGTTTGTGTGTTGGTAATCCGAATTTCTTCTCTTCTTTTTAATATATATATATATATATAGTTTTAAAGTAATAAATTGAACCCCCTATAATTACTACATGGTCACATTATTTCATGAAAGGCTTACGGCCATATTTTGAAACATTATTACTTTCTTATTTACTTATTGTTATTATTATTAATCTTTGTGGGTAGGCGTACTACTTGATTTTCGTTGAAGCAACGGTTCCCGTACGATTCACCGAAGTTAAGCAATGTTGAGCCTGGTCAGTACATAGATGGGTAACCGCTTTGGAATAGTAGGTGCTGTA